TTCTCTTCTCCAGGCTGGACATTCCCAGCCTCTCTCCATCCCTTGGAGCATCTCCTGGATTTGCTCCAACAGATCCAAGCCCGTCTTAAAAGGAAAGGAAAGGAGGAAAGGCGAAGGCAGGCGCCGTAAATAAGATTTTTGCCTCATCCCGTTTAAATCAGGTGCCCTGGAAGTGGCCACGGAGCCGTCGGGATGATTAATCCCTATTTTCCCACCACCAGAGCAGGGATTGATTGCCGGGCTGGCAAGCAGGAAAGCCAAGGGAAGGAGAGGAGCGCGTGGGAAGAGGAACGCTCCGGAGGCAGCCGGGATGAGGGGCTGACTCAAAACGTTGGGATTTGTGGTCGGAGCCGAGGACGTAGGAGGAGCTGCTGTGGGATCATCAGGCCGTAAAACGTGGGAATACCTGCGGCGCCGGTCGGGTCAGGAGCTCCGCTTTGCATGAGGAATATTTAAAGAAGGATTCTCCCCGTCTTTAGGGCTCAAAGCAAGGTTTTAAACCAGTCTGGGAACTCATTTCTACCGAGGAAGAATATTTTGGAACAGAAGTCAGGGTGGCCTTGGGTGCTCATGAAGAGGATCCATAAAATAAAACTTTTTTAGGAATTTTGATGTTGCTGGGATTACTCTACAGCAAAGAGCCCGTTTCCATCACCCACGCTCCATCCAAAATGGAATTATTCCCTGCTTGAAGGCCAGTAATTTGATTTTAAGAGTAGAATCATTCCTCCCCCCATTTTCCCAGGTTTTTCCAACTCCTAGCACCCAAAACAAAAGGCTGAGAATCACGGAAAGATTCCCAAAGACACGGAACCGAAATCATGGAACAACCCGAGCTATTCCACAAGGGTTGTCGAGGCAGCCCCCAAAATCCCAGCATTTCCTGGAGAGCCATTTCCAAAGGTTCCTTGGACCAGGAGGCCAAACTCCACCACTCTGGAGAACAAACCAGGAGAGAAACCAGCACGGAACAGGAAGAATTTCATCCAGCCCACCCATCACCCACATCTTGGAAGCTCCGGAGCTGTGGACTGGGAAAAACAGGGAATTACGGTCGGGAAAACGATTAATTTTTTTTTTTGTATTGTCGTTTTTGGAAGGACAACGCCGGGCATGGTTTAGCTGTCAGGGTCGTTTCGGCGTAATAACTTGTAGCAATTAGGATCTGGTTTTTAATTGCGCGGGAGGAACAAACGACCCAAATCCCAACTCCCACACCCTCCTCCTCCTGAACCTGCCTCCCTTTGAATTCCAGCCTCCCAAAGCCTCTGTGAGAGAGTTCCCAGCAGCCTCCTTTTCCCAAGAATAGGTGCCAGGAACAAAGCAGTTGGAAGGTTTGATTATCCCAGCGATGTTTTCCGGGAGCAATTCAGGCTCCCGGCCCCGTGGGAGAGGAGAAAATTTCCCTTTTTATCCGTGTCACCCTCGCGGAGCTGCCGGGGGGGGAACAGGGCAGAGGGAACGCAGGGATCCCTCCAAAAAACCACAGGAGAAGCAGGTTAAAGGCATGGAATTTTTAGGGATGACAGGGGAATTTGGCGGATTTAACGCGATTCCCGAGCGGAGCCACGGGGTGAGGGATTTTTTCATGGAAAAGGCTCCTCCTCACCTGGAAGGATTCAAAGAACTCAAAATGCTTCCTGT